ATGTAGCTGACCGTGAGTACTTTTGGTGTGTTTGGCTCAAGTAAAATGTGCGCACTCTTTCTGGTTGTTGCACCTGTAAACATATTATTAGAGGTGCGATTTGCACAAGAAGCAGCATGCATACATCCAAGCCCGGATCACTGCAGCGCCTAGGTCATATCTGCCTTCCAAGATCGCATGGAAGCCCCAATGGAGGCGACAAGCTTCGCAGTCACAGCAATAGGGCGAAACTTTGCGCAAGCCGGTGTCTTCTCGGGAGCATCCGCAGAGCAACTCGGACTCCTGAAGGACATGCACATGGCCTTCTGGTCTTTGAGCGCCCAGTCCGTTCCTGCTGAAACCCCTTCTTCAGTGAACACGCGGAGAAGCAGCGGAGCAGCTGCTCCGGAGCCTTTATTTGGGCTTTTCTGATGCTTGCCGGTCCCCCGTTTCGTGTGCAGGCGGAAGGATTCGTGCTCTGGCGTGCTTGCGACGATGGCGATATTGATGAGGCCGTGCCCGTTCTACTCGTGACGTTCTTGATACCCCCTGCATCGCATCATCAAATGTCTGAGAAGCCTTGTGCCTTGAGGCTGTTGCTGAGATTCTGGAGCTTGCCGAAAACAGTGAGGTCATAGACTCGAGCCGGTGCGGAAAACCAAAAGATGAGTTCGCAAGATCTCATGCTCGAAAGTTTCGCCAGGCACAGGCTGCCGAGACAGCCGTGGCACCTTCATCGACAGGGTATCCCAAGGCTGCGCATTGTGACGATGATGGCTTCACATACAAGGCGGCTCGCAAAATACGAGCTCTACGAAACCAGACCCGTGCAATCACTCGGGCTGCACATGACTGCGCAGTCCTCTGTGCTCGCTGCTAGGCGGTGCAGCGAAGGGGAGTTCGGGCACTGTACCTGCGCGCTGTGCGCCGCCAAATCGAGTACTACCTCTCTGACCGGGCAGCTCCGGCTGTGAGCTGTGCAGAGCCGGGTTCAGGGTATGGCGGGTATGGCTCCATTTGGAATTGCAGGACAAGAATCTGAAGCAAGACTGGCTTTCCCGGCCTGGTTGGAGCCGGCACCCGAGAGGCAAGGAGATTGCCAGCTGCCAGGTTTTTCCAAGAAAAGATTGTCGAGGCACCTTGGAGCGGATATGGACACGTTGAATGTTGTTGCGACGCTTTCGGTTATGGCTGTGCAGTGCGCGCCCGTGACAGTGACCATCATTGTGGATGTTGTTGTTGTTGTTGCTGCTGTTCGTACTGCTGCTGCTGCTGCTGGTGGTGGTGGTGGTGGTGGCGGTGTTGTTGTTCGTGGTGCTGCTGCTGTTGTTGTTGTT